GAAGCCTTTTTTCCCCACCCAGTATTTGTTCTCACCTCTGGGGATTCCCTGGCTACCCCCTTTTCAATAAGTTTTCCCAGTTAAAATTTTATAATCTGGGAGGTTTCACTCTCTGTGAGCTTTCCTTGCGCTCCTGCTCCCCATTCACAAGACAATTCCACAAAGTTGCTCGATTCCTGCAGGGATTAAACCTGTTCCAAAGTTTCTCCTAATTACTTTTCCTAAACCTCCCCGAGTTTTAAGCTCATTAATTCCGGCCCCACTTTGGCTGCAGAACATTTCACTCTTTGGCAACAACCTTTTATTTCATTATTAATATAATATTTGCATATAAATATTTCATCAGCCACATATTTAAACAGCCAGGGAGCAGAGACAGCAAATTCCTGAGCTGCCAAACTGCTTGTTGAGAGCAGGAAAGATGATTTCTCCCATTCTCAGCTGCAATCTCCCACAGGATGTGGATTCTACAAGAACAACAGCAACCGAAACCCCCCTGGAGGGGTTTAATCCTGCTGGTGCTGAACTTCCATCATCCCGATTAACCTCTCAGAGAAAGGCCAGCAGCCCTCCCAAAATCTGCCAAGCAGGGGCGTCCAAGGTAGTAAATCCCACTGTTTGTGGGGAGTGCAACAAGGAGAAAACATCATGGATAATAATCTGATTTTCATTTTTCTATCAGAAGTTTTAGGATTTAAGGGTTAAACATGAAAAATCAAAACCCTTAAACCTCAAAGTCAGGCCAAACCCCAAACCAGCCACTTTCCTGGAGAGCTCCCAGGCTGGGATCCTGACATCACTCACGAGGGAAAGGGATGGCACAGGAAAAGAGGTGGGAGGAACAGAAAAACTGTTCAGGTGAACCAAAAGTGGGTCAAATTAAAAAATGCCTTTATCTTCGAATTTATCTTTCTCTTTCCTTTAGTTTGACCCCCCCCAGATCTGACCTGGAGCAGGAATTCCACTGAGAAATTTGCCCACGTGCCCACACACCCCATCCAAAGTGACATCAGTGAGCTGCTCTGAAAATCAGAGTGTTTCTCATTAAACATCTCTCCCTGTTCATAACTGCTGGAAGCGCCTGCAATAAATATTAGGGAATTACTGAAAGGAACTGATTTTTATGACAATTGGATAAATGCCGTGCTCGTTACAGAAATAATGCTCAAGTCGATGGGAACAAATGTACTTTCCTCCCACAAGGAAAATAATCAAAGCCTTGCATAATATCAGCTTTGTCCATTCATCTCCAGCCTGTCACTTGCCAGGAGCTGAACAAAGTGAGCAGAATTCCAAACGTGAGCAGATGAAAGGCAAACCTCCTGGAAGTACCTGCTTAACTCCTGCTCCGTTTTCAGGTTGTGCCTCTGCTCCCAGAATTGGTGAATTGGTGCAGCTGAGGAGGAACAACAAGGCACAGACCCAGCGGGGTTTTTGCCACCAGGAAAGGATTGGAAAATACCAGCAACCCAAGCAGTGCATCCAGCAGGGTCTGGAAGTCAGCAGGAGTCACCCCACCGGGCCCACCAGGGTCCTGAGGAAGTGGGAAGCTGCTGGAAGTCCTAATCCACATCCTGGGAGAGGTTGCCCCAAAACCCAGACTCAACCCCCCCTTTCCTGTGACAGGAAGTGACACCAGGCTGTCCCTGAGCCAGATGTGGGGCCTGGGGGACAAGGAGGTCAATGGGATGCTGGGGAACAGCAGGAAGAACATTCCCAGAACATTCCCATTGCTCAGGGCGGATGCCCAGCAATGGCACAAGAGGAACGGGCAGGAACTGATGCCCAGCAAGTTCCACCTGCACAGGAGGAAGAACTTCTGAGCAGATTGTCCCAGCCTGACCCATCCTGGGATTCTGAGATATGATTGCCTCCCTGCTGGAGAAAATAACAGCATCTCCTTCAAAGCCTTGAAACAGAGACCAGGATAAACAACTCCGAGCTCACTGGATGAATACAAGAGTTCACTGGATGGATACAAGAGTTTCTAGGACTGTGAAAGACTTGAAATAAAGTCTCCCAGGGCAAAATGTGGGACACATCACAGCTGTTGTGGAGTCCTGTCAAGAGTCCTCCTGAATACTTGTTCTTCCAGTATCCCCCCTGTGACCTGTGTGTGTGCTCCTGAGGATGGAGGAATCAAAGAAAAGGCAGAAAATAGCTATTATTATCTGAAAAAGCATCACACAAGTCTCCTCAGGGCTGATAAAGCTTCCAAGAACAGAGGCAAGGAACTGTTGCCCGTCCCAGACATTATTTTTGTGTTTGGTGTTTGTAACTGGAGTGGATTTACCTCCAGAACTTTCCCTCTGAACCTCCTGATTTACTGGGAAAAGCTCCACATGTGTATTTGTACATGAAGTGGACGATTTGAGGGCACCTTCATCCTCCACCTGTCCATCCTCCACCTGTCTATCCTTCACACATCACCACAGCCAACCCAAGATAATAAAACCACCGTGCCGGACTTGGCACAGATTTATGGAAAAGGTGAAGCACGTGGACAAACAGGAGAATATAAACTAATGATAAAGGATCCAAGCGGCCAGAAAATAAAGTCCTTTCTAGTTTTCACACCAAATTAGTGCCAGGAAAGGGGAAAGCAGCGGCTTTCCCTCCTCCTTATTTAGAAGAACCAGCACTCCACTGTCTCTGTGGCTTTTCTCCAGGCTGAGCCCCCCCAGCTCCCTCAGCTTCTCCTCCCAGGACATGCTGGTTCATTCCCACAGGGATCAAAGCCAGACACACGCTGGGATGGCCCAGGAGGAGCCCAAGTGAGGTGTCTCCAGCCTCCCTGCAGCTCAAAAGCTGTGCTGCAGCACCAGCAAACACCCCCTGACGGAAGTCCTGCAGGTCCCACGACGGGCAAATCAAGGGCGTCAATAAATTTGTTACGCAACAGGACTCGGCAAACCAAATCAGTTGATTATTAGTAATAGGGTCGTGTGTTTGCAGCAGCTCCTCCTCCCCAGGGGGCCCAAAAGAGGTCAGCTGTGCCGAGCAGGGAGCGCTGGTGAAAAGCAGATCTGACAGGAGATTTGGGCAGCTCGAGAGAGGAATAAATGAGGGCTGCACGAGCCACTTCAGAACCAGGGAAATTAAGCACCGACAACAGACACGGGGAAGTCATTTAGTGACTGATCAGATACACAAACACAAAGAAAGGCTCATTATTCCCCATAAACCACATCAAACCAGACTTCTCCTTTTCCGACAACAAACGCCGAGCGCGCTTCCAAAATAATTGCTTTGCCCTCCCGGCTCCCTCCCCGTTCCCAGCACTGCTGGTTCCAGAGGCAGCTCTGCAGATCTGGATGCAGAGCAGCTCCCAGGGAACAGCTCCTGCCCTCGTTTCTCCCCGCTTGTTTTACACAGCACCAACAAACGAGATGGGTATCAGATCTGCACTTAGAGAAATCTGTCCTCCCATCTCATCTGCTTGTTCCCGTGTCAAGGAATTCAAAGCCAGGCATGGGGAAAATAATGATTGCCTCACACTTCTTCTTTTTTGGTTTTTGTTTTTTTTTTCCAATATAAATGAGGCTCCTATGTCATTTTTACTTCTCTATTTACATTAAATTCATGGATTTGGGGAACTACAGAGCCGAACAACACGGCATCAAATATGTAACAGCCCTAAGACTTCTGCTGCTGTTTACTTAGGGGAGGAATAAATCAACGGCTTTATCTTGGCACAACCACGTGGAGAGGAAGGAAAGGGGGAGGAAAAGGAAAGAAGGGAAGGTTTGGGAGGGAAAGGAAAGGAAA